CTCCGGGCTCCACATAAACACACCCGGGAATGAAGTTTGACCAGGCCAGGCTCTGGGATGAAATGGTAACAATTTTTACTGGTCACTACGAAATCTTTTCTTGTGGGAAAGCCCCAGGGCCCTTTGCAGAAACTGATCTTCCTTTAAATCTCTCCCATGTGACTATCCTTTTCCATTTCTACTGCCTCTCTCCCCTAATGAAGCTTTTTCCCCTCTGTCTTGAACTACTGTAAGATTCTCCTAACTGCTTCCCTGATCCCCTGGCTTTCCCTCACCAACCCATACCACAAGCCACACTAATCTCCTCAAAGTATAAACTTTATGAAACTACCCTCTTATTTAAATATTCCAGCCTGCGAATAAAGTTCAAATCCATAGTCTGTTCCTTCCAGCTTCCAGTAATGATGGAGTAGCTGGTTTTGGACTAACCCTCCTACCAATGGTTATAAACTCTGAACCAAAATATTTCAAAACAATTGTTTGAAGGCACTGGGGAGCAATAAAAAGCAGGCAGAGGCTGGGCGTGGTGGCTCATGCCTATAATCCTAGCACTCTGGGAGGCTGAGGTGGGAGGATCATTTGACCCAGGAGTTTGAGGTTACTGTGAGCCAGGCCACAGCACTTTAGCTACAGGAAAAGGTGAATACAATGAATGAAGAGATGGGTGCTTTCAAGAGAAAGAAACTCTTTAAAAAGAAACAAAAGGTCACAGGACAGGTGTTTATAAAGAAAAAAAAAGAAGCTAATGATATTCTAGAACTCAAAAACATAGTCTCTGAAATAAAATAGTTATTGTATGGAATTAACAACAAATTGGATACAACAAAAGCAAATATCTGTATACTTGAAGATACAGTAAGAGTTATCAAAATTAAAACCTAGATTGGAACACAACACTGAGAAATTCAATACCTGTGGAATAGCATCAAGCAGTCTAACATATATTTAATACATAATAGGAATTCCATAAGAAGAGAAACAAGAAAATGGGACATTAAAAAAAATTTTTTTTTTTAGATAGGGTGTTGCTCTGTCACCCAGGGTGGAGTACAGTGGCATGATCATAGCTCACTGCATCCTCAAATCCTGGGCTCTAGTGATCCTCCTACCTCTGCCTCCTGAGTAGCTGGAACTACTAGTGTGTGCCACCATGCCCAGCTAAATTTTCTATTTTTTGTAGAGATGGGGTCTCACTATTTTGCTCAGGCTGGTCTCAAACTCCTGGTCTCAAGCAATACTCCTGCCTTGACCTCCCAAAGCGCTGGGATTGCAGACATGAGCCACTGCACCTGGCCTGGACATAAAAATTATTTGAAGAAATACTGGCTAAAATTTCCAAAATTTGATCAAAAATAACAAATCCACAGAACCAGGAAGCTCAGTGAATGTAAAGTAAGACAAATACAAAGAAAACCATACCTAGGCACACTATAGTAAAACTGCTAAAAAAAAAAAAAATAGGGAAAACCTTAAAAGCAAAAAAGAGAGAAAGACATATTACACACGGGGAAATGACAATATGAATGATAGCTAACATTTCATATGAAACAATGAATATCAGAAAAAAATGGAATAACCTCTTTAAAATGCTAAAAGAAAAAAAAAGGTCAACCTGGAATTTTATACCCAGCAAAAACACCTTTCAAAAAATGAAGGCTGTTCTGGTGAATCTCCATCATCTTTGTGACTCTAAAATATGTATCTCAATGGATTACTTAAAGGTCTTCTCTATTCAGAAAAACAAGAGAGGCTTTGTCCATCACAAGTAACCCTGTCTGAGGGT